CTGTTTCTCCCCATCCAGATCCGCACGGCTTCCAAACACTGGGACATCACTTCCAAGGCATCGTTGGGATGGTCTGGGGTAGAGATGTACAGCTGAGTATCATCAGCGTACTGATGGAACTCCACCCCAAAACCATGGATGATCTCACCCAGCGGCTTCACATAAATGAAGCCACATATGACTGTATGACTGTAACCTTGTTGCTTGTATCCTTATGATTTATATTGTTATTGTTTCCTGATTGCTTATTTGTGACCTATGACTATCATTAAGTGTTGTACCTTATGATTCTTGATGAACGTATCTTTTCTTTTATGTACACTGAGAGCGTATGCACCAAGACAAATTCCTTGTGTGTCCAATCACACTTGGCCAATAAAGAATTCTATTCTATTCTATTCTATTCTATTCTATTCTATTCTATTCTATTCTATTCTTCTCAGTTGTGGTCATAGGTGGAGGACTACCTGTATTTTGACATTTTCCATCAAGTGCATTAATGCTTGGCTGCTGCATGGAATCAAAACCACAAAGAAAGCGTCTCAGATCTCAGGGCCTCTCCCTGTCCTATGGGGCTTCTGTTATCTCCTTCAATCATTTTTCACGTCCTATCTCTGGCAGTTATCTCCAAGTAATCCCCTCGGAGCAGGCTTGTTCCCAAGTTAAATAATCCTTGGGGATGTGTATGCTTGCAGTTTTCTGACAGCTCATCACATCTTAGTCCCTCTATCTTGATTCTCCCGTTTCCTGCTTCCACTCATAGCTCCCCAGGGAACAATCAGCTGCAATGGAACTTCATGCCTTTTGAGTAATTGCGTATATTAGAGGGAGAATTAAGAGTATTTTTCTCGCGTCTCATCTTTGCATTTTATTGGCAAGTACAAGTGGGCTTCCCCCAAAGCTGGAATGCTTCAGCCTTAAAAAAATAAATTGTCATATCGTTTTATGCAATCAGCTAAAGGTTACAGAAAATGGCTGCAGATCACCAGGTTGGGAGGAAAGGAACTGGTGGGGAGACATAGGTTTTTGTTGTCTAAAGAACATCTCCATTTTTCTGCAAGCAATCCTGTTAGGAGAATTAAGCAAGTTCAATAATAAAAATTAAAGAAAGAAAGCATGGTGAGAAAAGAGGGTTAAATTCACTGTTAGCCTGCACTTAAAATAAAAGACAAGAGAATAAATAGTCTTCATCTAGAAAAGGTAGACTTAGGGAAACAGCCCATGATATATTTTTTTACTAAATTCGGGTGCCTCAACTAAGAAATTCCTGCTGCCCAGGGTAGCCACTCATATAATCTATGAGAAAAGAGATTCCTTGGTGAATCCTTGCACTGAATTAGGTGAGAGGCAAGCAAGAGATTGATTCAAAGTAATCTCAGGCTGGCCCCACTGGAGACAGTGGTTAAGGGATTGGACAGGATCTAGGAGCCCAAGCTACAAGCTCTCCCTCAGTCATGGAAGCTAAGGGAGTAACTTTAAGCCAGCTATTATTTCATTCATCCTGATATATCTCATAGTTTTGCTACCGTGGGGGAAAATCGATGGACATAATGCTACATATGCTACCTTCAGCTCTTGGAAAAAGGAGAGGGATATTCCATCCATCCATCCATCCATCCATCCATCCATCCATCCACACACACACACACACACACACACACACACACACACACTATCTATCTATCTATCTATCTATCTATCTATCTATCTATCTATCTATCTATCTCTGCTTATCTGGGTGTTGATTGCTGGTGAGGAGGTGTTTTGATCTTTTTGTTATCTTTTTATCTTTTTTTTTTTAATTTGATTTATATGCCGCCCTTCTCCGGAGACTCAGGGCGGCTTACAATGTGCTCAGCAATAGCCTTCATCCTTTTGTATATTTTATACAAAGTCAGCTTATTGCCCCCACAACTGGGTCCTCAATTTACCTACCTTAGAAAGGATGGAAGGCTGAGTCAACCTTGAGCCTTGGAGAGATTCGAACCTGCAGTAATTGCAGGCAGCTGGTCTTAATAACCAGCTTAATAACAGGGTGCCTTAGACCACTGTACTACCAAGGCTCATTTTTGATCTCTCTTGAATGGTATGTACATGTTGTTTATCACTGTGTGCCTCTTGATGGCTTATTTGTTTGAGTGCCAAGCTCCAGGACTTCTATGACGTTTTTTGACTTGGTTTAGTCTAGGATGCTTACAGTTTTCCAGCTGAAACTATGGTTAAGTCTATCCATGTATTGTGAAATTAAGAAGTTTCATCATGACTTTTTCTGCCAGTTGGTGCCAGTTGGTGTTCATGCATAGTGCTCCATATGTCCTGCTGGCCATGTGACCGGGGAAATGTCTTCTGACAGCGCTGGTTCAATGGCCTTGAGACGGAGATGAGCACCGCCCCACCCCCAGAGTTGACAACGACTGGAGGAGTAAAATCCTCAGGGACTCCTTTACTTTTTTTTTTTTTTTTAAAGAGCACAAATGCTTATCTCAGTTTTGGTGCTGGAACTCTTGAATTGAAGCAGAATTTCAATGAATTTGAAATGTTTGAATGGGTCTTTCTCATATTTATTCTACCTGCTTTAATCCATTAAATGTTTAAGGAACATATTTTTTTCACATTCCTGGGGTTTATTAGATTCCTTGGTACAGCAATTTTAAGAACTGTGAAGGGTAACTCATCCTATTTTTAATCAGTAGGACTCAAAAACAGATAAATTGACATAGTCCTTGCTAAATTGAAATTTTACACATGAAACTCTGACTTTGTTATTATTGACAGGAGAGAATATTAATATAAATACACATTCTAATCTAACAGGCATTTATGTGGATGCAGAATTCTCACTCTGCAAATAAGGGAAGGGCTCGCATAGAGGTAGTTCTTGACCTTCAACAGTTCATTTAGTGACTGTTCAAAAATTACAATAATACTGAAAAAAGTGATTTATGACTGTTTTTCACACTTACGACCATTGCAGCATCTTTATGGTCACATGATTAAAATTCGGATGCTTGGCAACTGGTTCATATTTATGACAGTTGCAGTATCCTGGACAAGTAAAGTCAATGAAGAAGCCAGATTCACTTCACAACCATGCAACTAATTTAATAATGCAGTGATTCACTTAACAACTGTGGCAAGCAAGGTCGTAAAATGGGGCAAAACTCACTTAACAAATTGATTGCTTAACCATATAAATTTTGGACACAATCATGGTCATAAGCCAAGGACTACCTATTTTACAATGGTATTTATAGAGACTTGTATTTTTTTTTGTACTCCAGAAACCCAATCTTCTCCTCCAAAGTAGTCTCATTCAGTTTTGTTTATGCTATTCCATGGTACTCTAAGCCATGTTTTGATGAACCAAGATTTGATGAAAGAATCACATTGTTTGGCCCTGGCATGCCCAGTCATAAACCAAGATTTACAAAACACAATGACTTACAAACCAACCATTGATGGAGCCAAACTGTGTGGCCCAGCATCGTGAGCAGGGCCTGCCAGTGAAGGTGTAGTGCAGAAATAAGGAAACCAACTCTTCAGAAGTTGTCACAATCTCCATCTACTGATTGCTGCTAATGGAAGATAATGGGAGCTGAGTTCCCACACCATCTGGATTGTCAGACTTGCTCAGTGTAAAAGAGTTTAGAGCTGGCCATGGGAATAGGGAAGGAATTTAATGAGTCATTTAGGGAGGAATTTCAGAAAAGGTTACCAGAAACTCAAAATAATGTCATTTTAATTTTGTTTAGTGTAAGATGGGACACAGAGGAACTTGCACAGGCTTTTGAGATTCCACTATTCTATTTCATCACGATAAAAATAATAATCCTGGAATCCCTGTTTTTTGATCTAGCCTACTCTGAAGGGGTGATTCTCAACTGGGAAGATGGATTGGGACAGAATGAGAAGGGTGGATGATGTAAAGAAGGACAGGAAAGGGAAGCGGAAACAGAGACTGGTAAGAGACAGACAAGCCAAAGAGAATTAAGGAGAAAGTGTTGGTGAAGGAACACTTCCTTCCTTCCATCTCTCTACTTTATGAGAACGTAAATCTCCCAAGGATTCCAAGCAAAGAAGCCTTTTTTGGGGACAGAAGCTGAGCTTATATCCTGTTCCATGTATCTATGACTTCCAACATCAGTTTGGTCTAGTGTTTAGGACACCAGAGTGGAAGGCAGAAGACAGTGAGTTCTAGTCTAGGGGTCTCCAAAACCTGGGCCATGGCCTGGTATTGGACTACAGCCCATTGGGAACTGGGCCACGCAACGGAGGATGAGTGGGAGAGTGCCTGAAACTCCATTTGCACAAGTAGCAGGTGGACATGCCCTGCACAGCTTCCAGAGAACCTCTCCCCACCCCCACCCCCACCAGTGCCGCCAGCGGGACCGGATTGCAGAGCCAAAAATGTTAGGCATGGGTGACTTTGGGCCAATCTTCAGGAGACTGTGAATTCTAGTACCGCTTTAGGCATGAAAGCCAGCTGGGTGACTTTGGATCAATCCCTCACTCTCAGCCCAATCCACCTCACAGGGTTGTTGTCAGGAAAAAAGGAGAAGGAAAGAATATTAGGTATATTTGCTGCCTTATTTATAAGAATAATAAAGGTGGAATAAAAGTAATAGCCATTCTATGTCTCATTCAGGCATGTGAGGGTTAATCTTGAAGGAGAGACAGCTGCAAACCTGCCAGAGTATAAAGAAAAACGGTATCACTGAACTATGATCTAGAGTAATCTTTTCTGGGTTACCTCACCAGGCTCAATGAAAATGAGCAGGGTTTTTTTTGCTAGGGCTCGGAGAATTTGGTTAGAATTCTGTTATAGCAATGCAAAGAGAAAGTCGCTAAACCAGAGATCAATTTTTAGGCTATTTTTAACCAGCCAAATCCCACAATCACTTCCTTTCAAAGGTTGCAATTCCCCAGCTACCCAGCCTTAATCCAAGATGCCTTTCCGCTCCTGAATTGTTCCAGTCAAGAGAAGAACAGGTCATCCTTACTTTCTGGGAGGCAATCTTCAGGATCCAGCAGTTCTTCTGCCAGTTCGGGCATCTGTTCCAGAAGCTCTGAGGGAATGGCCAAATCCACTGTACTTCCTTCGGACAGGCTGATTTCATCGAATTTCTAGGGAAGAAAGAAGAGCAGAGACTTCATCACCCAGTCTTATGGAAGTGCTTGTGATTTAAAATAATAATAATAAAAAAACCCACGCTGCCCGTGTTGCATGATTCAGTCATCTCTGAGAAGGATAAAAACATAGAATAACAGAGTTAGAAGGGCCTTGGAGGTCTTCGAGTTCAACCCCCTGCTCGAGGAGGAGATTTATACCATTCCAGGCAAGTGGCTGTCCAATCTCTTTTGGAGAGCCTCTAGTGATGAAGCACCCACAACTTCTGGAGGCAACTTCTGTTCCACTGGTTGATTGGGAAGAAATTCACATGGTTGCTATATGGGAAAGGGTGGTGCATGCAAACGCACAAAGAAAAAACAAAATCATAAAGAAAAGCAACTCTATAGAAGTATTTTATAACTACAGTGCTCAATTGTCTTTGGGATGTTATTTAACAACCATAGGAAGCCACTGCTAGAGGTCATTTGTCAGTTTGAAATGAAGCGTCTTCCTAGAGAAGACAGGATGACCGTGTGCTGCTAAAGTTATTTCAGAGAGACACAGTTGACAACATGGGGAATGCAAGGTAAAATATGACGGGGAGAATATTATTTAATTATTTTATTTGTATCCCCCCCCTTTATTATTTTTTCAAATCACTCAAGGCAGTGAATATATGCAACACATCTCCCTCCTCCTATTTTCCCTTAAAACAACAATCCTGTAAGGTGGGTTATGATGAGAAAGAGTGACTGTCACCTATCTGGTTTTCACGCCTAAGGCAGGACTGGAACTTACCATCTCCTGGTGATGGGTCCAAAATTAACCAGCTGGCTTTCCTGCCTAAGGTGGGATTTGAACTCACTGTTTCCTGTTTCTAAACTGGTGCTTTAACCACTAGACCAGTGATGGCTAACCTTTTTGACATCGTGTGCCAGGAAGGGGGGGTGGGGGAGGTTCGCGCATGCGCGTGCCCACACCTATAATTCTATGCGCCCCGCCCTGTGCATGCATGCTCAATTCCCCCTTGCTCCTGGCCCTTTTTTCTTTGTCACCTGGCTCCAGATCCTCTCTATGCATCTGGGGAGGGTGAAAACAGCCTTCCCCACCTACCCCCAGGCCCTCCGGAGGCAGAAAACAGCCTGTTTCCCTACTTCTGGTGGGCCCAAAAGGCCTGAAAATCAGATGGCTGGCACACACATGCGCGCCAGAGCTGAGCTGACGTGTCCACTGATATGGCTACGCATGTCACCTGTGGCACGCGTGCCATAGATTTGCCACCAAGGCACTAGACTATTGGTATAATTAGATATGCCATTATTCCAATGAAATTCATCACCCTCTCATTTAAAAATTGCTACCTATATAATTGGCTCTGGGGTGGTAGAACAACCTGATTAAAAAAAAACCCAAACCCTAAGATCCTAATCTTTGAAAACACCCCTTCATATTTGGAAAAGAAAGACACATCAGCCGAGTTCACAAAATAACTAGGCTAAAGTAGAATTGGATGGCTGTGATTTAGCAAGTTGCAGGAAACCAGACTTTGCCTTAATATGCTTTGTAAATCAGATTGTCACATTATGTCATAATAATGTAAGTGATATGTCTGGGCTCAGAGTGCTTTGTGAACCCAGCAACTGTTTCCTTACGCAGGTTTAGGTTTCAGTGTGTTGTTCCCAGGACTGTCAAAAAACCAAGACAGGGTTGCAACTGTATGATTGAACCTAAACCATTTTTTTTTTTTTGGGTGCACTGAGACACAAATAAAAAGGGACAAGGCTTCAATCATGTGGGCGCCACCCCCGTGTTTGCTATTTTGATACCCCCCATTCTCAGATATTACTGGTTGTGCCTATTGCTTCATTCTTCTACTTTGGCTGCGACAAATATACACAATTAGCTTGGAGTAAGCCCACTGAAAGCAACTGAAATTAAATTCTGAATATAAAATTACTCAGTTAAGAATTTCATGCGATGAGGTTCCGGAATGCGATATTTGGGGAAAAGTTACAACAGGTAGCTCTTAACTTACAACCACAATTGAACCCAGCATTTTCTTTTGCTAAGTTAAGCATTTGTTAAGTGAGTTCTGCCCCGTTTTACGACCTTGCTTGCCACTGTCGTTATGTAAATGATTGCAGTTAAGTTAGTAACATAGTTGTTAAATGAAGCTGGCTTCTCCATTGCTGGGCAAAAGGTCACAGAAGGTGGTCACTTGACCCCAGGACAGTACAACAGTCATAAATACATGCCAGTTCCAAGTGTCTGAATTTTGATAACATGACCATGGGATGCTACCATAGTCATGAGTGTGAAAAATGGCCACAAGTCACTATTTTCAATGCCATTGTAACTTTGAATGATCACTAAATGAATGGTTGTAAGTCGAGGATTACCTGTATTTAGCTCCATGTGCTGATGTAAGCATCTAGGAGTTGCTAATAATTTTACAGTCTCCTAACCCTCTCAAAGAGCAAATTCCTGCATTAATAAACTTTTACTTTCAGAAAAGGAGATTGGAAGTCATTCCTTAAAGTATCATGATCTCTAATCCTCAAAGCAGGTACCCTAACTGGGACAACAACAAAATTCAAAGGTCCCCAATGCCTCTGGGGATTCCTGGCATTGATTCTGAAAGAAGTAGAAAGCAGAGATCCCAACAGAAAGAAGGAACAGATTGAATTAAACCGGGTAAACAGAGAATAAACAGGATCTGCAGCAAGAATTACCAGGCAGCGACAAAAGGAAAGATTATAATATTTGTGGAGCTCAGCAGCACAGCCACAGGGGGGATAAATGAGAAACCCAAAACAAAGAAACACAATTAAAAACATGCACAGTAAGAGATGAGAGCTCTTTCAAAGTAAAAGAATGTGTCTGCTACATTCTGGGGAAGGGGAGGAGATGAAACATTTTGTGGGATCAACTGAAAGCTGTGCCATCTTCATCATAACTTAAAAACTTGGGAGGACAGCAGCCATTCAAACTTGTAGAATTTTTTTAATTATTGTGATTTATGTTATTTATTTACATCCCGCCTTTTAGAGCAACGGTCCCCAATCTTTTGGGCATGAGGGATCAGTTCCGTAGAGAGAGATTTTTCTACGGACCGGAGGGGTGTGTGGTTTTGTGTGCTGCCTGCATCTTGTGGGTGGGCTTTGCTTGTTTGCGTGGCCTGGTTTCTGGCATGCCACGGATGAACCAGTGCTGGTCCACGGACCGGGGGTTGGGGACCCCTGTTTTAGAGGATGTGAGATGGCTCAGCAGTTAGGGTTGAGCTTATCTGGTGGAAAGCTGACAATCTAGGTTCAAAGCCTGAGTATGAGTTGGGGTGAGCTCCTGTTACTTGCCCCAGCTCCTGCCCACCCAGCACTTCGAAAGCATGCAAATGCAAGTAGATAAATAGGTACCAGTTTGGTGGGAGAACAACACCTTGGCATGCAATCATGCTGGTCACATGACCAGGGAAGGGTCTTTGGACAATGATGGCTAGGAAATGCAGATGAGCACCACCCCATGACTGAATAGGGGCTAATGCCTCCTAAGGCAGCATTTAACATCCAGCTGCCTGCAATTACTGTGAGTTCAATTCTCACCAGGCTCAAGGTCGACTCAGCCTTCCATCCTTTCTAAGGTGGGTAAATTGAGGACCCAGTTTGTGGGGGCAATAAGCTTACTTTGTATAAATATACAAAAGTATGAAGGCTATTGCTTAACGCATTGTAAGCCGCCCTGAGTCTCCGGAGAAGGGAGGCATATAAATCAAATTAAATATATATATATATATATATTCCTTTTTTTTTTCATCCTGCCTTTATTTTTTTAAAAAGCAACAAGGCAAACTTATGCTATACTCCTTCCTCCTCCTATTTTCCTCACAACAACCCTGTGAGGTGAGTTGGGCTGAGAGAAAGTGACTGGCACAGTGTCTCCCAGCCCCTAAGGGGCTCTAGAACACACAATCTCCTAGTGATTGGCCAAAAGTCACCCAGCCGGCTTTCCTGCCTAAGGCAAGACTAGAATTCACAATCTCCTGATGATTGGCTTACCTAGTTGACTTTCATGCTTAAATCAGGACTAGAACTCACAGTCTCCTGTTTTCTAGTCTGGTTTGTCTCAACGACTAGGTTTAACTGCTCCCTTTAAACAAAAAAGATGACCCAGACACATGGAAAACAATCCCTGGCCCTTTTACTGGGCTGGAAGGAGAGAGGTTAAAAGGAAATATCCACATAACATTTGATCAGTAGCCTAAGAAGAAGCAAACCTGGTCCTAGTTTTTGCTGTGCTTGGCTAATAAGTGCTTAGCTAATGGATAACTAATGGAAAAAGCACTCACAGCATCTGTTTCCAAAGAGGAAGATGGCTTTAAAATGACTCCACTCCTTTGATCACTGGATTTTCACCAATCGGCTGTCTCACCCATCATTTCTTTAATATACCAGAATTGTCACATTTCTGGCTCAACACGCAAAAATTCCAGACTCCTTGCACACAAAATCTGACTTTTGTTTGAAATGGGTAAGCAGAGTACACTAAGCCAGACAGGAATTATGGTAGCAAAGAAAATAAGCAATGCAGGTAGTACTCAGCTTATAACCATTCATTTAGTGACTGTTCAAAATTACAATGGCACTGAAAAAAGTGGTTTATGACCATTCTTTTATACTTACAACTGTTGCAGCATCCCCATGGGCTAACAATTCAGATGCTTGGCAACAACAGAGCCTTGGTGGCACAGCAGATTAAAGTGCTATTAAGTAGCACCAGCTGCCTGCAATTACTGCAAGTTCAAATCTCACCAGGCTCAAGGTTGATTCAGCCTTCCATCCTTTCGAGGGAGGTAAAATGAGGACCCGGATTGTGGGGGCAATAAACTGACTTTGTATAAAAAAAGAATACTGCTTGTGGGGGGCCGAAAGCCCTACTAAGCAGGTATATACAAAAAGTATGAAGGCTATTGCTTAACGCATTGTAAGCCGCCCTGAGTCTCCGGAGAAGGGCGGCATATAAATCGAACCAATCAATCAATCAATCAATCAATCAATCAATCAATCAATCAATCTTTATGACAGTTGTACTGTCCCAAGATCATGGGATCATTTTGTAACCTTCCCAGCCAGCTTCTAAAAAGCAAAGTCAATGTGGGAAGCAAGATTCGCTTAATGACTGCATGATTCAATTAGTAACTGCAGGGATTTTCTTAATAACTGTGGCAAAAAGATTATAAAATGGAGCCAATTCATTTAACGTCTGTCTTCATTAGCAATGAAAATTTTTGGCTCAAGTATGGTCATAAGTCAAGGACTACCTGTACTGGAGTGGTATACTTTCTTCTTGCCCAGAATATTATTATTATTATTTATTGTTAAGTGAATCTGGCTTCCTCATTGACTTTGCTTGTCAGAAGATTGTAAAGAGTGATCATGTGATCCTAAGACACTGCAGTTGTCATAACTATGAGTCACTTGCCAAATGTCTGAATTTGATCATCCGCTACAATCGTCGTGTGAAAAATGATCATAAGTCACTTTTTAAAGCAACCTAGTAACTTTGAATGATCACTAAATGAACTGTTGTAAATTGAGGACTACCTGTAATATTCTCTTACTCCTAATGTGTTTGGTAGTTGTCTCTACCAACTGTCTCACTGCTTTTTCTGGTTTTTTGCCTGTTCTTTATCATACACATTTATGGCACCACATTTTCCACTTAGTCTCAAGCCTTCAACTTCTCTTCTTCTCAACTCATGAAAAATACTGCCTGAATTGTCAACCACTCTATTAAAGTACTGCTCTCCTCTTTAAGCAGGCCTCCGTCCAACTGAAGGTCAGCTAGGCAACATCTGGCATGCTTCTGGGTTGTCCAACTGTTAATGTCCCAGTGTGCAGGCCCAAGCAAGATGGATGAAAGCAGGATCTACCTCCTTCCTCTACAGCAGTATTTACAAGTGGAGATGTGATCAAGATGACACAACATTCCTTGTGATGTCACAACAGATGCGCTACAGCTTAATATGTGCAGATAATTATGATGCAGAGAAGGAAGGGTGGAGTTTGTACTGCAATGACCCAATGCATATATCAGGCATGTCCAACCTTGGCAAATTAAAGACTTGTGGACTTCAATTCCCAGAATTCTCCACCCAGCCATGCCTTATTAAAGTCCACAAGTCTTTGAACCTTTGTCTCCCTCTCTCTATATCCAACAGTGCTTCTCTGGGTCTGTCTGGGGATATTTCTCTTCTGCTAGCTTTTATGGGGTATAATGCCTGGGAAGAAAGGTAAAAAAAATGAGCTTAGAGAATTGATACGATCCTGGTGGATTTTTTTTCTCCAATACTGGACAGTGATGTGCTGAAAAAGAAGCAACATCGGCAGCACCAGAGCAGAAAATCTACTATAATGACTGGCATACTCACAAATAGGAGCAACGCCACTGGACACTGATATGAAACAGGATAGGAATTGGCAATAAGGACAATAATTTCATGCTTGACATGGCTTTGGGGATGTGTGGACAACATTTTAAGTCAATAATGGGGAATATTCCTAGGAGTCATGAAAATACTCCCCAACTGTGAATTTTACAAAATTCGCAGTTTTGCAAAATTCACAGTTGAGGAGTATTTCCATTAAGTGGCACCAAAATGTCACAAAGAGGATGCAGGCTTTCTAAGTAAGTAAGCTCTCCAGAACTAACTAACTGATTGACTTACTGATTGATTGACTGACTGACTGTTGCACCAGGCAAGAATCCATAAAAAACAAAGGATGAGAAAGAAGGAAGAAACTCTAATGTTTTCATCAACACCTATGAAAATATGTGGGGGATGTTGACTGAATGCATTTTTCTTTTATTAAGTCGGAATAGCAGATGTCATGTTTCACCTGGCACTGAGAAGCAAAAGAAACAGGATTCCCTGAATTTTAGGTGAATTTTTCTGTTCCTGAATGGTTTGAGCATCAATTACACTCACCCACCGCTACTCTTTGTAGGAGGAGAGCTGTATTACTCTGTGGAGGCAAAGAATCAGGAGTCTATTAGCCCCTTTTTTCAGCTAAGACATTTTACTAAGAGGCAGAAGCTTTTGTGAAAAGGATGCCGTCAGCCTCCTAACTTTTCTTTTTTACGAACCACTAACAAAGGTATTCAGTTTACAAGTTTTATCTTGAGATCTACGAAACTCAAAGCTGTCAGATCCGCTTTTATTTTACAATGTAATTTTCTTTCTTTCCTCGTGCCTTCATTTTTGCAATAACCTCCCAAGTGAAGAGTTGTGGAGAATTCAAACACTTGCAGGGTCTTTGGAATTGCTCTAACTGAACTCAAAATACTAAGGATACAAGTAGTCCTTGAGTTACAACCACAACTGAGCCCAAAATTGCCACTGTTGAGCAAGGCAGTTGTTAAGTGAGTTGTGTCCCATTTAACAACATATCTTGCCAGATTTGTTAAGTGAATAACTGCAGTTGTTTATCATGTTGGTAATACCATTGTTAAGTGAATCTGGTTTCCCCATTGACTTTGCTTGTCAGAGGATCGCAAAAGGGAATCATGTAAGCCCAGGATATACAACTGTCATAAGTATGAACCAGTTGCCTGGTATCTGAATTTTGATCAGGTGACTATGGGGATGCTGCAACTGTTGTAAATGTGAAAACCAATCATGAGTCACTTTTTCAGTGCTGTTATAACCTCAAATAGTCACTAAACAAATGGTTATAAATTGAGGATTATCTTTATTGTCAAATTGCAGACTGAATTTTTGGGGGTGGGTGTATCAATACAATTATCTTGCTTTCCACCTAACTAAAATGGTGCATTGCGATATGCCTGGTAGGAAGAAGGGCGGCGTATAAATTGAATACATTTATAGATATAACGAATGAATAAATAAAATTATTGGTTAGACAGGGCTCCTAGGAAGTGTTCTCTGGTTCTATTGCTTTTGAATGCAGACTTTCAGCACAGCTCTGAGATGGTTTTTGAGATAGTTCCCACGCAGTTTAGACTTCGTCCCAAGAGACCTTGCAAGAGTACCCTGTAGAGAACAAGTCTCCAAAAAGAGCAGCCTTCCTGCAATACACTCTCTCTCTCTCTCTCTCTCTCTCTCTCTCTCTCTCTCTCTCTCTCATGTCGGCTCTTAGGCCGCCTCATCTAACTCCCTGCCTGATTCTGCGGCATTTTATGGCAAGATGCCACGTTCTCTGATCCCCTCTTTGTTTATATCCTCAATGAAGATTATATTTCTTTTCTGGGACGGAAGCAGTTTAAAGTTAGGGAATAAAAAAGCATTGGCTGCTGTTGCTGCGTTTGGCCACTGCTCCACACTGGAAAGTTTGACTTCGTGCTCCATTAACACCAGATACTCTTTTCCTGACCTTGCCTTTCATTCCAATGCAGGAGAGCTCAACCCCAAACAACCACATGCTTAACAGAGAAATTCTTCCCGCCATTAACACTTTCCATATTTATTATTTAGATTCTTCTCTCCAGTCACTGTGAAGATCGACTAGTTCTGACTGATTTTTCTTTAACGTTAGATTAATTAACGTTACATAGTTAGGACTGCAGAAAAAAACCGATCGTGACTAGCCTGCCTTCCATTGAGGACTTGTATACTGCAGGAGCCAGAAAGAGGACTATGAAAATGTTTACAGACCCCTCGCATCCCGGACATAAATTGTTTCAACTTCTCCCCTCAACAAGACGTTATAGGCCATTGCATGCCAAGACAACTAGACACAGAGACATTTTTTTTCTCCCATGTTATCACTCCGCTAAACAACTAATTCCCACAATACTGTCTTTTGCCCTAGGACCATGTAGTATGACCTGTCTTACTATTATCCTTCCCATCTTTCCTATTACTCATTCCTTTAGCATCTTATGTCTATCACATTGCTTTTATTGTATCTTATGACTGTCACTGAGTGTTCTATATTATAATTTTATGATGATTGCATCTGATGATTATGATCATGATTATCACTTGTTGCTTCTATGTATACTGAGAACTTTTGCGCCGGAGAAAAATTCCTTGTGTGTCCAATCATGCCAATAAAGAATAATCTATTCCATTCCATTCCATTCCATTCCATTCCATTCCATTCCATTCCATATTCTATTCCATTCCATTCCAGATTCTATTCTATTCCATTCCCATGCATATTGTGGCATGCAACCCAGCTACCGCCAGCTACTTTTCCTTCATGCAGTTTCAAACGTGGCTAGCTAATGGCATGCAGAAAGCTCCTGGCATCACCATTACCTCTTGCTGGTCTGATAGTGGAAGAACCACCTCTGATTTTGACAGCTTGTCCATCTGCAACTCACTTAAGTCTTCACAAAACTCAGAAGTCTGGCTTTCGATCGCTGTGCTTGTGTAGTGTTGCTCCTTCAGTTGCTTGTCCTGGCAGAAAAAACCCTAAATGCATTTATTTCCCCCATTTTCCTTTGCAACATGATAGTTGTTTTTTTTTTAAAGTGGATTATGCACCCAGTCCACTGAGGAAAAAAAAACAACTCACCAGCCTCCAATATATTCACCAAGTGTCACACTTTAAGCAAATCAAGGAAAGAAACAACACAGGTAGTCCACAACTTAGGACCACAATTGAGCCCAAAATTTCTGTCATTAAGCAAGACAGTTATTAAGTCAGTTTTGCCCCATTTTACGATCTTTCTTGCCATTGCAAGTGAATCACTGAGGTTATTAAATCAAAGACACCGTGATTAAGTAAACCTGTCTTCCTATTGACTTTGCTTGTCAGAAGGTTGCAAAACAAGATCCCGGGACATTGCAACCGTCATAAATATGAGTCAGTTTCCAGAACACATGACCATGGGGATGCTGCAATGATTGTTAAGTGTGAAAAACTGTCACAAGTCATGTTTTTAGTGCTGTTGTAACTTCAAATGGTCACTAAACGAACTGTTGTGATTCGAGAACTACCTGTCTATGGAAGGTGGATTACATAATTTCTGATTTACTGATTGGATCCTTGCAGGAGTGGGTTCTACTTACCTTTACTACTGGTTTGCAATGGGGTCACGCACACACGCTCACTTCGCTCGTGTGCAGAAACTTCTGTGCATGTGCAGAAGCATTCTTATGATATCGGGGTCGGTGGGCGGAGCCTCCTACCGGTTTTCCTACTGGTTCTATAGAACCGGTGCGAACCGGTGACAACTCACCACTGGATCCAGGACAGTTTGAAACGGATCTAGGCTAATTTCTTCAGAGGAGCCTCTTAATTATCACAGCAAGATGACTTTTGGTTCAGGTAATCCTCATTTAATGACCCTCATGGGGACTTGCAGCTCCATCACTGTTGAGGACTACCTCTACAGGTTTGGTGGAAAACCAATACAACTTCCATCTCAAATTACTGTTCTCTTACCACAAGAAGTATAAAGAGATATTCCCTGGATTACAAGGTTCATCAAGGAGGTATTTTCAAGCAGAACTGACTTATTAAATAGTGTCTTCATCCCTTCATAGTTCATTCCTCTTGCTTTGTGGGAAATGCTTGATTAATATGTCGCCCGTACTTTGAAAGTAGGGAAGTCACTACCTACTGTTCTGAATCACACCGTAGTTATTATTACTTTTTTATTTTTTTGCAAATCTGGCTTGATGGTATAGTTCCCCCTCAGTAGGAAATAGAACAAAGAAACAAAAAGGTCTGATTTCAAACTGAACAGTAAAGATTTTTTTAAAAAATGTATCTGTGTAAGTGTTCTCAGTCTGTCTAGTTCCCATTAACCACCCGTATTGAAAAGCTGCTTTGATTTCACAGTAAATTAATTTAAAATTAAATACCGACTTCCTGCTGCAGAGGACATGGCACTCCATGTATATTTTAATTTATAATAAATTTCATTTTTCATGCTTCTAGCTGTACCCTGTGCTTAAGAAAGTGCTCCGTGTAATTGCAGGCCATGATTTTAAATCAATTCTCTGCAGGCCAAAGGATCAATTTATAGTCAGGAGAGTAAATTTTTGGTCGCCACCGGAAACAAACTACAATGTGCAAAGGAATAAACCGTATGCAATTTAGTGTGAGAATCATGTGATTTCCGCCCCCCCCCCTTCTCCTTACTTCTTGGGCAGCTTGGAATTCCTTCCTGTTCAACCCAAATAACAATCATAATTCAAATAATGCCATTCATCCATTTTTTTTACATTAATTGGGTCAAATTTTATATTTACCAAAAAAGAAATAATGGGAGACTAGTATGTCAAGCTATTTAGCTCTTGTCCGCTAACCATACCCTTCTGGGATTTTAACCCAGGCTCGAATCCCAGAAGGGTATGACTAGCTTATGAGAGTTAAATAGCTTGACATAGAACTATACTAGTCTCCCGTTATTTCTTTGTTGGTAAATATAAAATTTAACACAAAAATGTTTTGTTGCCAAAACGACTGCCTGTGAAGGCTCCTGGATTGGGGCTGAAAGGCAAAAGCTGAAGCAGTATGCTCCATCCTATATTTGGGTAGACCAGGTTGCCCCAATTAAAAAAAAAAAAACATTTCATTAATTGGGTCATTAAGTGAAATATTGTATAGGTAGTCCTTGACTTACGACCACAGTTGAGCCCTAAATTTCCATTGCTAAGCAAGACAGTTGTTAAGTGAGTTTTCCCCTATTTTATGATCTTTCTTGCCACATGTTAAGTGAATCACTGCAGTCGTTAAATTAGTAACACGGTTGTTAAGTGAATTTGGATTTCCAGTTGACTTTGCTTGTCCGAAAGGTGTTGCAAAAGGTGATCAAACGGGACATAGCAACAGTCATAAGTATGAACGAATCGTCAAGCATCTTGACCATGGGGATGCTGTAACAGTCATAAGTGTGAAAAAAGGTCGTAGGAAACTTTTTTTTTCAGTGCTTTTGTAACTTTGAACAGTCACTAAATAAACTGCTGTAAGTCAAGAACTACTTGTAAAATGAAGCAGCCTGTTTTGAGGTTCCCTGAGTCACAGTAAGGAACACCAAGATAAGCTGAAAAGTTTTAGCTGGGAGCAAAATGGTCTTGCTCAGAATCTGTTCTTCTGTTTTTTCAGACTGTTAATTTTAGACCCTGTCTGAAGTTACATCTTGAGTGGAGGAGGCAAAAGAGAGAGAGAGAGAGAGAGAATTTAGAATGCCTCCTCCTGCTAAAAATTTAATTTTAAAAATTTCTACAAAATGAAGAATATCCTTGCATGGAAAGTGGAGGTCATGGAAAATAGGAAAGAAATTTGCAAAACTTTGACCCATGGAAATTGAAATAATTAATTTGAAGTACAGTTGAAGTCTCCCTTGAGTTGAATTAAAGCATCTGGATATTTTATACACTACAGGTAGTCCTTGGTTTACAACATAATATTAATGTCTTTGACTTACAACAGTTCATTTAATGACTGTTAGAAGTTACAATGGCACTGAAAAAAGTGTCTTATGACCATTTTTCACACTTACAACCATTGTACTATCCCCATGGTCATGTGATCAAAATTCAGATGCTTGGTTGACTCATATTTATGATGTTTTCCATGTCCTGGGGTTACATGATCACATTTCGGGGTCTTTTGACAAGCAAAGTCAATAAGGAAGTGATATTCACTTAACAGCCATGCTACATGTGGCAAGAAAGGCCATAAAACGGGGCAAAATTAATCTAACAACTGTCTCACTTAGCAATTAAAAAGTTAGGGTCAATTGTGGCTGTAAGTCGAGGACTACTATAACGTCTTCTCTAGTCTCTATTTAGTTTTTCAAGATTGGCTAAGGTTAGTTCATTGCTTGTTGAGTCCTTCTCCCTTGGTACAACCTACTGTAACTCATAGGGCTGTTTTGGGGAAAAAATAGGAGGAGGGAATGTCTCTCACACACTGCTTCGCCCTTTTGCAGAAAGACAAGATAACTAATAAATAAATTAGCATTTTCTCCATTTGAAATGATGGAGCAGAACCTTAATCATGCCGGCTTAAATACAAATGCATGCCACTTTGCACGTCTGCACCTTACTTTTCCATGTTTCATCAGAAAACACAGGCAGCGCTCGACTTACAACTACAATTGAGCCCCAAATTTCTGTTCATAAATGAGACATTTTTAAAGTGAGTTTTGCCCCATTTTATGACATTTCTTGCCACAGTTGTTAAATGAATCACTGCAGTTGTTAGGTTAGGTTAGGAATCTGGCTTTCCCATCGAGTTGCCTGTCAGAAGTTCGCAAAAGATGACCACGTGACTCTTGGACATTGTGACCGTCATAAATAGGAACCAGTTGCCAAGCGTCTGAATTCTGATCCCCTGACCAAGGGGATGCTGCAAAGCTCATAACTATGAAAAACAGTTGTAAGTCACTTTTTCCCCCATGCTGTTGTAACTCTGAACAGTCACTAAATGAACTATTGCAAGTCGAGGACTCCCCATAAAGGAAACCACCAGTTTAGTTATTTCAGTGGCATGATCCTAATCCAAAAAGGGAAATCAGGAAGAATATTCTCCACCTCTGCATTAGCATACTATGTGAAGAATTATTTTCAGGTAAGACTACAGAGTAGGGTTTCAGTAGGTTCTGACCAGTTCTGGAGAACCGGTAGTGGAAATTTTGAATAGTTCGGAGAACTGGTAGTAAAAATTCTGACTGGCCCCGCCCTCATCAATTCTCTGCCTCCCAAGTCCCAGCTGATCAGGAGGAAATGGGGATTTTTGCAGTAACCTTCCCCTGGATTAGTATCCTTCGCCTGGAGTAGGGTGGGAATGGAGATTTTACAGTATCCTTCCCCTGCCACGCCCACCAAGCCACGCCCACCAAGCCATGCCACGCCCACCAAGCCACACCCACAGAACCGGTAGTAAAAAAATTTGAAACCCACCACTGGACTACAGGTAGTCCTCAACTTACAATGATTTGTATAGTGAGCATTCAAAGCTACCACAGCACTGAGAAAAGTGACGTAAGACCATTTTCCATACTTATGTCCATTGCAGCATCCCCACAGTCACATGATTTATATTCAGAGGCTTGACAACTGGTTCATATTTATGCAGCGTCCCGGGGTCACATGATCCCCTTTTGTGACAAGCAAAGCCAATGGGGAAGTCAGATTCACTTAACAACAACTCATCACCTTAAGAACTGCAGTCGTAAAATGGGGCAAAACAAATTTCTCACTTAGCAACATAAATTCTGGGCTCAGTTGTGGTCATAAGCCGGGGACTACTTACATAATATAATTCAGAAATCGGATGGTGCAGGATATTCTTATTTTTTAAATTTCTCTCTCTCTCTCCTATGCCTTTGTGTGTGTGTTAAAATTACTTTCCTCTGAATGCTAAACAATTACTTATTTTTGCTGCAAAATAGCAGTTATTGATAATACAGAACTCCAGTGTGGGAGGCTTATGTAATCTGCCTCTAAGCGTTTGATGCCAAGTGCTGTGTTGCTAAGGCAGTATTCATTATAACAATATTTATTGAATCAATGTTTCCCTTAATTTAAAAAATACAAATCATGATGTGAGACAAATAATTAGGCAGATGCACAAAGAAAATGGGGTTGGAAGGGAGTAGCTATTAGTCCGGTGCTTTAAGATATAGGAACTTAAATGAACAATCCTATAAACTTATATCAACAATAAACGAAACTATTCAGAAGAAAGTCCTACGGATTGCAATGGGTTTTCCCTCCGAATTAGTAGCTTAAACTAGGCGATAAGGAGCTATTTTTTCCTACCACACCCAAGCTACAATTGAACAGCACTATCCTTGCAAAGAGAAAGCTAGTACCTCAGGGAGATGGTTTGCAGCTGAGAAACCTTCTTCAACATGTGCAGGTAGTCCTCGACTTATGACCACATTTGAGCCCAAAATTTCCACTGCTAAGTGAGAAAGTTGTTCAGTGAATTTTGCCCCTTTTTATGATCTTTCTTGCCGTAGTTTTTAATTGCCATTGTTAAGTTAGTAACATGGTTGTAAAGTAAATCTGGCTTCTCCATTGACTTTGTTAGGAGGACACAAAAGGAATCACGTGATCCAGGGACACTGCAACCGTCATAAATATGAGACGGTTGCCAAGCTTCTGAATTTTGATTATGTGACCATGGGAATGCTGCAATGGTCGTAAGTATGAAAAAGTTACATAAGTCACTTTTTTCAGTGTCGTCGTAACTTTGAACAGTTACTAAATGAACTGTTGTAAGTCGAGGACTATCTGTATTTATATTCAGGGAATTATTTTTTAAAAATTAAGAATAGCGTCTCGTTAGATGAGGTCACACTTCTGAAATGGTGGAGCCAAAACATAGATTCGTTATTTCAGCTACAATGCAGATGTTAAGATTTAACATTCAGCTATTTAAGGAACCATTGTGCAGTCCTTCTAGGCTTATAAAACAGTTCACGATTCAATATTGTTCTCTTAATCAAGACCAGTTCCCAGATATACAGGTAGTCCTCGACTTACAACAGTTCGTTTAGTGACCATTCAAAGTTACAACGTCACTGAAAAACCTGACTTATGACCATTTTTTCACACTTACAACTGTTGCAGTATCCCCATGTTCACGTGATCAAAATTTGGATGCTTGGGAACTGATCCATATTTATGACGGTTGCCGTATCCTGGGGTCACATGATCACCTTTTGCGAACTTCTGACAAGCAAAATCAATGGGGAAGCCAGATGCACTTAACAACTGGGTTACTAGCAATAGCAATAGCACTTAGACTTATATACAGCTTTATAATGCTTTACAGGCCTCTCTAAGTGGCTTACAAAGTCAGCCTATTGCCTCCAACAATCTGGATCCACATTTTACAGACCTCAGAAGGATGGAAGACTGGGTCAACTTTGAGCCTGATGAGATTCAAACTGCCAAATTGCAGGCAGCCGGCAGTCAGCAGAAGTAGCCTGCAGTACTGCACTCTAACCATTGCGGCACTGAGGCTACTAATGTAACAACTGCAGTGCTTCACTTAACAATTGTGGCAAGAAGGGTCATAAAATGGGGCAAATCCACTTAACAAATATCTCAATGGAAATGTTCCGCTTAATTGTGGTCATTAGTCAAGGACTACCTGTATATACCACTACCTGGGTTCACGTGGATGACTAAGATATTATTTGTTGAGTCAGGTATAAAGTTATAATAGTAAATTCAGATAGATAGCACATTAAGCCAACAATAAAGGTTTCCAAATTACAAGTTTGAATTCACAAGCTTGCTAGACCCAAATCAAACCAGTTTACAGTTTCCCCAATTCTGGCCAATGATTTCTGCTTCTTCCAATGTTCATTAAAGGACTGGAGGTTGAATAGCAGAGTACCAGAGTACAGATTGATGCCCACTAGCACTTTCTTAATCTAGCTACGTTTAGTTTACAATTAAATTATAATCTACAGCAGGTGGCAAAGTAGGCTTGTTTTATCTGGTTGGGGAAGTAAAAGAAGGCAATGCAATTGTTCTTGCACAGAAAGAAAAGGAGAGAAGGACATACGGGTAGTCCTCAACTTATAACTGTTCATTTAGTGACTGTCCAAAGTTACAACACCACTAAAAAAAGGTGACTTATGACCGCTTTTCACACTTACCCACTGTCGCAGCGTCCCCATGGTCACATGATCAAAATTCAGATGCTTGGCAACTGGTCCTCACCCTTACGACGGGTGCAGTTTTCCTGTATTCATGCAATCAGCATTTGGTTGCTTGGCAACCGCCATGTATTTATAATGGCCACAACATCTTGGGAATCATGTGACCTTCCCAGCTGACTTCCAGCAAAGGCAGATTTGCTTAATGGCCTCATGACTTACTTAACTGCACTGATTTGCTTAACAATCGTGGCAAAAAAATGGTTGTAAAATTGGGCGTGGCTCACTTAACAACCACCCTGCTTAGCAATGGAAATTCTGGTCACATTTGAGGTCGTATGTCGAGGACTACCTACACAGAAGGCAAAGTCTTTTCACTGTTTATATTCTTCCTGTCTCTTTATACATATGATAACTTTTGAAAATGGATTGCATTTTCATATAATTATATGGTAGATGATACATTTTATTCCTTACTAAAGTACTTTAACTCATCCTCTATCGAGGATAAAATCCATTAAAAAAAATTGTGTGCAAAAAAATAATAATAATAATCTGCTATCATCATTGTAGGAAGAAAAAAACTCCCTGTCATCCTTCAACATCCACACCAGTCGGCCACCTGATCGATCTTTGACCTGCCAGTGAACTCCAGACAATAAAGCAAAGGACCCCTTAAGCCTTCCTGCTAATTCTGATAACTGGGTTGAAACTGACTAAGTGCCTCTTGCTACAGAGAATTGGCCAATATTGGCAACTTAATTAAAACTAAGGAAAATCCCCTGAAGATATAACTGTCCAGAGTTATTGATTGAGACAGGCGGCTATAAAAATTGATTAAATAAATAAAAGATATGAAAATCCCTCACACTCACAATAGGCTTCCCCTAATCTAAAATCATCAAACAAGGTCATCTGCTTGACTTACAAAAAGGTAACTGTTGAAAAACCTTGTAGGGGGAAGAAATTACATTTCCTCTCTACCACACCTAGGACACTTCCCAGGAGGTGAGCTACATTCATGACTTTCCTAAAACAAACACTCTGCACAGGTAACCAACTTTTTCTTTTAATTCATGGCCATCTTGTAGTGTTGAATAAACCTCACCTCCGCTTCAAACAATAGTATCACGGTCTTTGCAAAACCTGGCTCATATGAATCAGATGCAGGTATAGAACAGGTGGTACCTGGCTGAATAACAGTCACTGCAAGAGGGATCTTGGAGTCCTAGTAGACAGTCACATACATATGAAGAGCCTTGGTGGCGCAGCAGACTAAAGTGCTGTTAAGTAGCACCAGCTGCCTGCAACTACTGCAAGTTCAAATCTCACCAGGCTCAAGGTTGACTCAGCCTTCCATCCTTTCGAGGTAGGTAAAATGAGGACCCAGATTGTGGGGGGCAATAAGTTGACTTTGTATAAAAAGGAACACTGCTTGGGGGGAGGGGGGGGCGAAAGCCCTACTAAGCAGGTATATAGAAAAAGTATGAAGGCTATTGCTTAACGCATTGTAAGCCACCCTGAGTCTCTGGAGAAAGGCAGCATATAAATCAAACCAATAAATAAATAAATAAATAAAATAAAATAAATAAATAAACAAATAGACAGACAGACAAACAAACAAACAAATAAATAAGAGCCAGCAATGTGTTGCATCTGCCAGAAAAGCCAACACAGTCCTACGCTGCATTAACAGAGGGATAGCATCAAGATCATTCTTTGTCAAAAGCCCTTGATATGGCTTATAATACTACTTTATAATGCCTTGGTAAGACCACTCTTGGAATACTGTGTCCAGTTTTGGTTGCCATGATATAAAAAAAATGTTGATACTCTAGAAAGAGTGCAGGGAAGAGCAACAAAGATGATTAAGGGACTGGAGGTGAAAACATACGAAGAACAGTTGCTGGAATTGGGTCTGTCTAGTTTGATGAAAAGAAGGACTAGGGGTGACAGGATAGCAGTGTTCCAATATTTGAGGGGCTGCCACAAAGAAAAGGGAGTCAAGCTATTCTCCAAAGCACCTCAGGGCAGGACAAGAAGCAACGGATGGAAGCTCATCAAGGAGAGAAGCAACCCGGAACTAAGGAGAAGTTCCTGAGAGTGAGAACAATTAATCAGTGGAATGGTTTGCCTTCAAAAGTTGTGAGTGCTCCATCACTGAGGCTTTTAAGAAGAGCTTGGACAATCATTTGTCTGAAATGGTCTAGGGCAGGGGTGTCAAACTTGCGCTGTCACAGCAGCGTCACATGATGTATTGGGATTTTCCCCCCCTTCGCTAAACTGGGCAGGGGCAGGGCCAGCCACATGATGCATCTGGCCCATGGGCCGCGAGTTTGAATTTCTTCTAACATCAAAAACACTCTTTTGGAGAAACAGGACTTTGCTTGGGATTGAAATGAAACCAGCACTGATGTTGAGTTGGATTTTGGGTAGAAAGCATTAAATAAGTAAGACGACCTAGATGACAGAGCTTTCTTTCATGACTCCACATATCATTATTATTCTAGTGTTGTGAAGCAGTGGAGAGCTCCTTTGACATATCTTACTAGCTGGTACGAAATGATCCGTCACTATTGAAGCACCATTTAATTTCCACATTGCTCTGCTATTAACACAAAAACCCTCTGTTTTACAAGGGTAGAATTAGAGTCCTCAAGTACTGCCTAAACCAAATGATGCAAATAGGTTGACAACGTATACTTGATTTTGTTTGATAGGCTGCCAGTACAGGTAGTCCCCAATTTACAGCAGTTCATTTAGCAACTGTTTAAAGTTACAACAGCACTGAAAAAAGTGACTTTTGACCATTTTTTACACTTATGACTGTTGCAGAATCTTTCTGGTCACTAAATCAAACTTCAGATGCTTAGCAACTGTCTCATATTGATGACTGTTGCAGTGTCCAGGAGTCACATGATCCCCTTTTTGTGACCTTCTGACAAGCAAAGTCAATGGGGAAGCCAGATTCACTTAACAACTGTGTTACTAACTTAACAACTGCGGTGATTCATTTAATTTAATTCGATTTTACTTTGTTTTTAAATTTTGTATTTATGTATTTTTACTGTTTGGCTGTTCACCGCCCTGAGTCCTTCGGGAGTAAGGCGGTATATAAATCAAATAAATAAATAAATAAATAAACAAATGTGAGAAGAAAGGTCGTAAAATGGGACATAACGCACGTAATCATTGTCTCGCTTAGCAATGGAAATATTGAGCTCAACTGCAGGTCCAAGGACTGTCAGGCAGAGTGACACTGAAGTCAGAAGCATTTCAAAGAATAGTGAATAAATAAGAAAAAAAATAAAAATAAAAACAGAAAAGAACTTTTTGCCAGCAATTGAAGATGCATTTATATTTTACCTTCTCTCTATGTATGTTTTTATTCTTTTCTGAGTTTTTTTGTAATTTATATTTGTTGTTTTTCTTTATTGTTATCCTGCTTTTAAGCCACCTACTTTGGTTGGATGTACAAGTTTGCAAAATAAATACATTCTGGGGTTGTCTGTTCTATCTGAAGTTCACGGTCAAGAACCATAACATTTTATTGCTTTGGGGCACACAATTGCCACATTATTCTAATTAATGGAATGAATAGATACCCAAAAGCTTTCAAACTGCACCTCTAATATTCCTTACGAAAAAGTAGCTCAATTACCCTCACTGAAGGCATTTGTGCATGCAAGCAGATAAGGGTTCTGTTAATATCTGAAGCTGCATTCACATAAATCAAGAATTGTTTTAGTTTGAACAAAGGTTTTCAAATGAAAGGCCCATTGTTCAGCTGAAGAACACAGCTTGCAAGAAGAGCTGGGTTAAATCTGCAGGTGGGGCTGGAAAAGATTCATGTCCACAACTATCCTTGTCACAATTCCAGGGGTCTGACTTGGAATAAAACAGCTGGTGATGTTCCTAATTAATCTTGCATGCTGCACTTCAGAAAACCCTTAATTTAACATAGCAAGTAAAACAGAGAAATTAACAGAGGGGGGAAAAAAACAGACAACCTTTCTTTAGTTAGGTTTGTCCCAGTGGTGGGTTCCTCCCAGTTCGGCCTGGTTCTCCTGAGCCGGTAGCGGTGACGATATGACATCACCGAACGTCACCGAACCGGGGGTTCACCAGCCCCCCTGCGTTATTCTTACCTTTTATTTGGCCCCACCCCCACTCTATTGCTGCCTCCTGAGTCCCAGATGATCGGCTAGAAGGAAAAAAACTGTTTCAACTCTTGCCGTGGGGCTTCAAAGGGCCGCCCTACAGCTGATCAATGTTTAAAAAAAACAAATGAGTAGACCAGTGCCTGCAAAAATACATGAGTAGACCAGTGCCTGCAAAAATAAATGGGTAGACTGGTACAGCTCTGCAATCAGTTAAAAGCCTGGTAGACCAGTGCCTCTGCTAAATCCTAAAGAATTGTCACATGACCATCAAGCCACACCCACAAAATAAGCCACGCCCACAGAATTGGTAGTAAAAAAATTTAGAACCCACCCCTGATTTGTCCATCCTACAGGTAGTTCTCAATTTACGATCACAATTGAGTCCAAAGGTTTTGTTGCTAAGCAAGACAGTTATTAAGCGAGTTTTGCCCCATTTTACAACCTTTCATACCACAGTTATTAAGTGAAGTTGTTAAGTTAATAACCCAGTTCTTAAATGAATCTGGCTTCCCCATTGACTTTGGTTGTCAGAAGGTCAGAAAAAGCGATCATCCTGAGTCACTGCAAACATCGTAAATACATGAGCCAGTTGGCAAGCAGCCAAATTTTGATCACATGATCATGGGGATGCTGCCATGGTCATAAATGCGCAAAAGGGTCATAAGTCACTTTTTTCAGTGTTGTAACTTTGAAAGGTTACCAAATGAAGTTGAGAACTACCTATGTTAGACCTAGTAGGGCTGGGATACTCTAAGTCCCATTACAGTTATTTTATCTTACAGGGTCTCGGAGATGTGCTCCTTCCCTCTTTTGAAAAGCACCCCCATTTAAGAAAGCTACCTGGTACCAATCCTGTAATTCTTTTAAAAAGCCCTAAAAACATCATTATTTTTCAGAAGGCCTTGGAACTGGTGATTTCTGATCTTGAGATATTATAGCCACGATGTTCACAGCATGTTTTTGCCCCAATATGAAAGTTTAATACCGCTTTGTTACTGATTTATTATTTTTTCATGCCTTGCTTTAAAATCTTTAACATATGTTAAGTTATCTAGAGCTGCTTTGGTGATTCGGGCAGGTTATATATTAATGCTCACTGCCATAAAACCAATCACAGGCTGTGATTTCTATGAAATTGTCACTGTCCAAATTTGATTTGTGACGTGGCCCTACACAACCTATCAAGGGATCCCTGGTTAGATTCCCTTGAGTAAAGACATGGATAGGTAGTCTTCAAATTATAACCATTTGTTTAGCGACTGTTCAAAGTTACAAGAGTTATGAAAAAAAGTGACTTACAATCAGTCCTCATGCTTATAACTGTCGCAATGGTCACAGAATCAAAATTTGGGGGTCTTGGCAACTGGCATTGTTTATGACGGTTGCAGGATCTCGTCGTCACGTGATGGCCATTTTTGATCTTCCTATGCAGTTTCTGACCAACAGTCTACGGGGGAAGTTGGATTCCCTTAACTGTGATTCCCTTAATGTCCTTTGCAAAAAGTTTGTAAAAATAGGGTGCGACTCACCGAACGACTGCCTAGCTTGGTGACAAGTTCTGAGCCCAATCATGGTCGTAAGTCGAGGACCAAGTGTAAAGTGTAAACAGCAATTTAAAAACATA